CAAACTGCTTGTGTTTATAATCAAGTTCCACTGGTTTTTATGATCAAGTTGGGTGATAAGCCACTGCTTTGGCACCTATTGTAGCTAATTGTCGGTCTTGTGTCCACTCTTTCACACTTCACCAAATCTTCACTATAATTGCAGATTGAAAATTTTTACTATATGTTGGAAAGTTAGAGAGCTGATTGGACTGATTGTAATATATGTAGGATGTTTGAACTCTTATGGTTTTAACTAATTCAACTATGCACGAAGAAAGATAGCTGGTACATGGATGCCATTTAGTGTGATGTATCCCTGCCAGCATTTTACTGACATCCAAGACATGTACCAAGCATAACATGTGGAGTATCTAATTTTTATTTTATTTTTAACATCTGCACAAGCATGTTTGAGTTTAAAAGGATATACATATCTTGCATATAGACACAAGTCTATGTCAAATAAGAATTTCTTTTGCAAGAATATAAGAAATTAAAAAACAATATCATATATATTTAGCCACTAAAAGAATGAAATGATAAATCTGTAATTTTTTTTTGATTTATGTTGATTGGTGTTTAAGCATGAGAGAATTAATTTCCTTCTTTGGTATTTCTGTTATTTTTGGTCTTTTGTTGAATGTCCCAATCATAAACATAAGGATTATTAATATTGAACAAGTTATATTTTGGCTTTGTCCTTTTTTGTCTGTCTGTACTCTTTTGAAGTTGTGTTAATGTGCTTGTGTCAGGCCAGACACCATGTCCATGTTTATGCTTCTAGAAAGAGGATTTAGGCATGCAATCTGGGAGATGGATGAAGGCCATTCGGGTGAAGCTTTTCCTGGTTCAACCTGGGAAACTTAAATTTAAGTTAATTATGGCATCCTTAGTCTTGAGTTGGGCTGCTTGACACTGGAACATGGCTGTACTGTAGTTTGGTTGGGATGTGCCAAATGTCCTCAATAGGGCTAGCCGATGTATTTTTTGATAGAATCTTGGGTTGAATCCATAAATGCCTTATTAGGCTAGCAAGTGGACTTTGTAGTGGACTCATGGAGCTGGCCAACCTACTGACATGATTGAATGGAGTTAGTACCCTTACATTCCCTTCAGTTTTTCTAGCAAGGTACACTTATTGGAATTTGTGTGTGCTTAAAGGTCATTGGGAATTTTGATATTTTTTATATGCCTATGAAGACGTCAAGTATGACAATTGATGACATTTGAGAATGTGGAAATATAGCCATCATGGTGATATGGTGGAGGATTTAGTGCTACACCTTTCCTTCATTTTTCTGTGGGGCTAAAGTTGGTGTGACTTGTGTGTACGAGGAAATTTTGACATTCTTATCATGGTTTTGAAAAATATTTAAAGAATCCAACTATCAAATTGATAACAATGAGATTTTGGAAACAGTGTCGTGTTTCTCCATTTATTTACTAATCCAAATTTGTACTCTATTAAGTGTTAGGCTAGCTTCCCTTAACATGTTGCACAGGTACAGCTCAGTGTAAGTGTCTGGTTGGCAGACAAGTAAAGGGTAGCATGATGCCACTTGTCTTTCCTTAACTTTGAAGAGCTTTCTTTCTGTTATTTGGTTGGATGGATGGAATGCAGAAAAGGATGGCTTTTTATAGTGACCTTGGTGCATTGATAACTTTATAATTGTGTGGACAGGTGGAGAAAGAAAGAAAGGAGGAGCAATCTTCTTTTCCCTTTTTTTCCTTTTGTTGGGAGTGATGGGGGCAGAAGTACATTTTTGCCCCTCAATTGGAAACTTTTCTGCATTAAGTTGTATAACATGAAGAGAGTTCATGACCTTTCTATCATCTCTCTTAACATTTTTTTTTCTTTTTTTTTTTTTTGGCTGCCCATCTAGCCACTTTTTGTGCTTTGTTAAACTATATAATAGAAAGAGAATTTATGACCTCCCTGTCATTCTGCTGTTTACATGTCCCATTTTCAACTGAATTAAACTGCATGGAGAAACCTCTTACAAAAACAAAAGAAAAAACAAAAAAGAATTGAAACAGACTTGTATATTCTTTTACTTATTTGTCTATTTATTTGCATATCAGGAGGAATATGACACACATGACCCTAAGGGCCACTGTTCGTTAGTACTGCCTTTTTTGATGAAGAGGACGAAAGTTATTGAGATAGTTGCGGCACATGACATTGTCTTTGCTCTTGCTCATTCTGGTGTTTGTGCAGCTTTTAGTAGAGGTAGTATTTTGCATATTCCTTTTAAAGAATTTTTCTGTCTGTGCTTTTGTTTTCTAAATACGGAACTTGCTTCTGGAAAATGCTTTGTACTTGCTTTCTGAATGCAGAGACAAACAAGAGGATATGTTTCTTGAATGTCAGTCCAGATGAAGTCATCCGAAGCTTGTTTTACAACAAGAATAATGATTCCCTCATCACAGTTTCTGTTTATGCTTCGGATAATTTCAGCTCATTGAAATGCAGATCAACAAGGATTGAGTGCGTTTAGTTCCTAATTCTTTCTTCTTTTTCAAGTCATATATTCTGCAACATATAATGTAATTACTTATGTAATTTCCATTTAATCTCTAGATATATACAAAGGGGGAAACCAGATGCTGGGTTTCCTCTTTTCGAATCTGAATCTTTGAAATGGCCTGGTTTTGTGGAATTTGATGATGTTAATGGAAAGGTGCTCACTTACTCGGCACAAGATAGGTATCTATTATGCTTATGCCTATCTTGAATCTTAATATCTCAATTAACATTATTGACTGCATATATTACTGTTGTTGATTGTAATATTACTTATAATTGTTTCTTTCAGTATATACAAGGTGTTTGACCTAAAAAACTACACCATGTTGTACTCTATAACAGATAATCATGTTCAAGAAATCAAGATAAGGTACTTTTTTTCTATCTTAATTATACGGATATGCATTGTCATTGTACTTGCAGTACTCCTTGTGTTGTAGCTGTGTCCTTTTTATTGATTTATTTATTTTTCTATTCTGTTGTTTGTTTATTTATTTATTTATTCCTTTTTATGGGGGGGCCCGGGGGGGGGGGGGGTGGTGGAGGGAAGGAGATTTAAGCTTTCCTTCAAAAAAGCAATTACAGGCAACATCCTGACAACAATTTTCTGTAGTTGATAAAAATATTCTACTTTCTAACCATATTCTTTCTGCTCAATAGGCAAGAATTTGTGCACATGCATATATTGTAGGCTTAGAATTAAATGGTGGCCTGTTGATAGAGTTAGTGGTGGCTCTGCTTCATCAAAAATAAAGTTGAAAAAGTAAGTAAAATTCAAAACAAAACTAGGGGCTGACATTATATGATGAGAGTGACAACAAAACATGCAATTTTCGTTTTTCTATCAAAGGGAGTTCTTTCAATCAGGTTTAGATGGTTGATTTTTTTTCAAAAGAAGATTTTTATACCTCAAAGCAGATGAGGTAGTATAGAGTTCTGGTGGATACTGAATTCTACTTTGGAAAACATTTGGTCTTCTCAATCCCTCTCTAGTCTTCACCAGATTGCAACATTTAAAAGTATGCACCTACTAGTGAGAGGACCATTTTGTTAAACAAATCCTTAGAAGAATCCTGCATCTGTATTTTATTTATTTATTTATTTATTGTTTTCTATTCTGATGCTTTCATCTGGAGTTGTATCTGGTTCACTATAAATATGGACACCTTTTACTTCATTTTACTTCATTATTATCTTTATAATAGCATGCCATGAGGGATGGTGTGCATCCTTCATGGTGAATTAAAACTGCGGTTATTGTGGCGATAGCTATGGTAGAGGGTTATCTTAAGTACGAGGGAATTCTCATGGAATCTTGACACATTAACTAGAAGCTTATTGAGAAAATTAGAAGGGAGAGAAAAGATTCAATTCATTATTAAAATAAAAATTACACATATATATACAAGATAATATGGGCCTATGGACCTCTCGGGCCATGGACCTATAGACCTACAGAATTAATCTACTATGTACAAGATTATAATCTACTATGTATAGGACTATAGAAAAGGGAGTACTTCTAACACTCTCCCTTAAGTTGGAGTATATAAATTATTTGAACCAAGCTTGTTACAAATATAATCAAGTCGAGGACCCGGGAGAGATTTTGTAAAAATATCTGCTAATTGATCATTAGAATTGACAAAATTAGTAGCAATACATCCAAGCAAAATCTTCTCTCGAATAAAATTGCAATCAATCTCAATATATTTGGTCTTCTCATGAAATAATGGATTAGAGGCTATATGAAGAGTAGCTTGATTATCACGAATCAACTTCATCTGCTCAATCTCTCCATACTTTAGTTCTTGAAGAAGCTATTTCAATCATATGAGCTCACACGTTGCCAATGTCATAGTACGATATTCAGTTTCTGCAGTATACTAGACAACTACATTTTGTTTCTTACTCTACCAGGATATTAGATTGCCCTTAATGAAAACACAATATCCTGAAGTAGATCGTCCATCTGAAGGGGAATCCCAATTTGCATCTGAATACCCAATTACCTGATAATGCTCTTTGTCTTCATATAACAATCCCTGTCCTGGTGCTCCTTTAATGTATTTCAGAATTTGAAGTACAACATCCCAATGACTATCACATGGAGATTGGAGGAATAGACTTACTACACTCATTGTAAAGGATATATCTGGTCGAGTGATAGCAAAGTAGTTAAGTTTGCCAACTAGGCGTTGATATCATCTGCAATCTTTAGGAGGCCTCTTGTTTTGGTAGAAGCTTAACATTCGGATCCATAGGTGTACTCACAAAATTATAGTCTAACAAGCCAGCTTCTTGGAGAATATCTAAGGCATGTTTTCTTTGAGAAATTGTAACTCCTGTACTAGATTGAGCTACTTAAATTCCTAGAAAATACTTAAGTTTTCCCAAATACTTAGTTTGAAAATGATTGAAGAGATGTTTTAAATGGAGAATGCCAACGTGATCATCTCTAGTAATGACAATATCATCCACACATACCAAGAGATAAATGCATTTGCCATGTGGTGTATGGCGGTAAAAAACAGAATGATCAAATTCACTTCTATTCATTCCAAATTCTTGAAGAATAGTACTAAAATGGCCAAATCAAGTTCGTGGAGACTGCTTCAAGTCATAAAGGGAATGACGAACCTTGCAAATTAGACTAGATTCCCTTTAAGCGACAAAGCCTGACGATTGCTCTATATAAATCTCTTCTTTCAAATCACCATGAAGAAAAGTATTCTTAATGTCAAGTTGATAAAGAGTCCAACGATGCATGGTTATGAGAGAGAGAAACAGACGGATTGAAGTTATCTTGGCCACAGGAGTGAAGGCATCAGTATAGTCCAAATCATAGATTTGGGAATAGCCTTTAGCAACTAAATGAGCCTTGAGACGATCAATGTTGTCAGCAGGACCAACTTTCACTGTATAAACCTATCCACAACGAACAGTAGTCTTGCTAGGAGGCAAAGGAACCAAATCTCAAGTACCATTAGAATATAATGCAGTCATTTCATTAGTCATTGCTTGTAACCACTCTGAATGAGAAAGAGCCTCACCATCTGTTTTGGGAACAGAATCAGAAGACAAGGAAGAAAAAGAATAATGGGATGTTGATAGACGATGATAACTCAAAAAGTTATACATAGGATGAGGGTTATGAGTAGAATGTATACCTTTTCGAGAGGCAATTGGCAATGACTCTTCAGAATGATGGATCTGTGGTAGGAGAAGATGATATAGGAGGTGAGTCATCTACAACATCAATAGTACCTACAGAAGAGTTATGTGGACGATGACGACTATAAACTTGTAGAAGACAAACAGGAAGTTTGGAAGTGGAATGAGCAGGTGCTAAGGAATAAGAGGACACAAAAGGAGGACCCAAATATGGAACATGAAGGATTTGAGAAATGGTACAATGCTCTTTAGAAGTAGTGGCAAAGAATGGGGATGACTTAAAGAATGTGACATTAGCAGAAATGTGAAACTTACGAGTATGGAGAGAATAACACTTGTAACCTTTCTGAAGACAAGAATAACTTAAAAATATACACTTGATAGATTTAGCAGAAAGTTTGTCTCGCCCCGGTGTGAAGTCATGGACAAAACAAGTGCAACCATAGACTAGGGAAGGAAGGTGATAAAGAGGTTGATGTGGAAACAAGATAGAATGAGGAAGTTGGTATTGTAAAACAGAAGAAGGCGGGCAATTAATCAAATAACAAGCAGTAAGAAAAGCGTCAGCCCAAAAATGTAAAAGAACCTTGTGATAAAGGAGAAGAGTACGGGCTGTCTCAATGAAATGACGATTCTTTTTGTTGAGGTGTATGAGCACATCAGGATTGATGTAGGATGCCACAAGATGACATAAAGGTGGCAAATGATTTAGAAAAATACTCATGAGCATTATCATTGCGCAACACCTTGATAGAAATATTAAATTGATTTTAAATTTTAGCATAAAACTTCTGAAAAATGGAAAATAATTTTGAACAATTTTTCATTAAAAATAACCAAATACATTGAGAATAGTCATCAATAAAAATAACAAAATATTGAAATCCCAAAATAGAAGAAACATGACTATGGCCCCAAACATCACTATGAACTAAATCAAAAGTAGTCTTGGCCCTGTTATTGACACACTTTGAAAAAGAACTACGCGATTGTTTTCCTAACTGACATGACTTGCAATCTAATGAAGACAACTGAGACACATTTGGAACCATCCGTTGTAATTTGGAAAGATTAGGATGACCTAAACGGTTGTGAAGAAGATTTGGAGCATCAATAAAAATGCAGGCAACAGAAGAAGGTTGCTGAGTAAGATAATAAAGTCCATCTGACTCATGTCCTGTGCCAATCATTTATCCCGTACCTCGGTCTTGTATCAAAACAAAATCATCAAAAAAAGAAACAATGCACTTAGAAGGACAGCCATGAGTGAGTTTACTAACACAAATAAGATTAAAAAGACATTTAGGAACAAAAAGAGCAGAATCAAGAGAAACATTTGGAAGAGGGTGGACTTGATGAATGTCTTTGGTTGTTGTTTTTGAGCCATTAGCAAGATTAATATGTGGAAGAGAAGTAGAAGAAGAAAAATGAGTGAAAAGTTGTTTATTACCAGATATATGATCAAAGGTACTTGAATCAATGATCCAAGATCTGTGAGAGGATGACTTTGTGAGGCAAGTAATAGGATTACTAGATTGGGCAACAGAAGCGACAACTGGAAGTGATTGCTTACTCATCTTGAATTTAAGATAATCATTCAAATCTGATCAAGTCAAGAGAAGTGGTGAGGATGATTGTCCTACTGTTGTGTCAAGTGGAGCATATAAGGGATCTGATTGAATAACATTTGCACTTCTAGGGGGGCCAACCATGCAATTTGTGACACTCTTCTTGGGTGTGGCCCCACTTGTGACATTAACTGCATTTAGGACAATTATTACGACCACCATGTCCTCTTCCTCCTTGTGTTTCTGTAAGAGTTGTTTTCGATGCCAATACTGAATGATCAACCGAAGAAATACCAGAAAGGGATGTCGAACTTGATACTGAAGAAGCCAAGTATTGAGATCGTCAAGAGTAGGCACAATATGACTAGCAAGAATCTGATCTCGAATTAAAGCAAAATCAGGTTGAAGAACTGTGAGACCTAGTACCAAGATGAGCTTATCTCTTTGAGCTAATGGTTCTGTTGCAATATCAGTAACAGGTAAAAGAAGTTCAGTTCGTGTTTGATAGACTCAAGTTTTCCAATAAATGCACTCATATCATCGCCTTGTTTCAAGTGAACCATATCCAAAAACACATTATAAAGGCGTTGCACATCATTAGTATAAAGTGATTTAGCTCGTTCAAACCTCATAACAAGTCTTATAAGCTTGATAAATACTCAAGATTTTAGGGTCAATTGTGTTCCATTATAGATTGCATAGAAGAGCATTGAACTTGTTGAAATCATATTTGTTTGCAATAGGTATATCCTTTGATTTATTAGTTAAATGATCTTCATAACTTTGACCACGAACCACATTTTAACAGATTTAGACCATGAAAGATAATTTACACTCTCCAAAAGCTTATCTGATGTAATTATTGGTGAAGGTGTAATTGAAAGTGAGAATGTACTAACTTGGGTATTGACACAACCTCATATTGAAGAACTTGACGTTGAATTGGTGGACATTGTGATCGACATTGTGATCTTGGACTACAAATAACAAGCAGCAAGAAGAATCTGGTAGACAGAATACCAAACTGCTGTAAAGGACTAGAAGATTAGCCAGAGGATGAAGCAAAAGGGTCAGCTAGAAACCCTATTTTAGTTGGTGATAGTCTCTGGCGAAGCAGCAGAGCGAGCGATAGCCTTTGGTGAGCTCGCTGAGAGGCGCGAAGTTGATCTGTGAAGTCGCAATCTGCGTGTTATGTTCCCGTGTCACGGATCGAGTTATAGGGCGATGCACAGGAAAATCTGCGTCAAGGGATGCAGTTTTTCCCTTGTTACGATTCTTGCCTCGTGAAGAACCTATGATTATCTATAGAACTCGTTGAAGGGAGCTCTTAACCTTAGACTCGTTAGAGAGAGAGCCTTAAACCTCTATAAATTTGATGAAATTTTGCTTGCTTTATTCCCTTCCAATTGTCCTCTTAAATAAAGATTACAAAGGAGATTATTCCAAAAATAGGAAAACTAAAATTAAGGACTTAATGAAAATACTTGCTAAAATAAACTTATCTAATTAGGAATAAAATCATTATTTGTCCTCCTCCCCATTTGTGGTGCCATTGACTTCCTTAATTAGGAATAAAATCATTATTTGTTATCCTTCCCATTTTTGACACCGTTGACTTCCTTATTTTGTGATCCATGTGATCCATGCCTTCCATATGTCTTGCCCACAAATGCATCCATAACACTGCAAAGGTGACGCGAGCGATGCACAATAGCCCTAGGCGAGCTTGCTAAGAGGCACAAAATTGATCTGCGAAGTCGACATTTAAAGCAAGAGGGTCGGTGACAGGCTCAGCAAAAGCAGCAAGGCACATGACAAATTTAAACGACGCGAGCAATTAAGTCAGTGAAATTTGAGGATGCTGCGAGTGATGAGATTGATGAGATCTGCTTCTCCTCCGATAGGCTTAGGTGAAGGTGCAACCGACTCCAACAAGATCGATCGAAGTGGAACATCGGCTGGTGGAGAGAGAAGAAGAGAGCTGCGCTTGCGCCTAGGGTTAGGGTTTCTATCTTAGATATTTTTTTTTTAGACTTTTCTCTCCCCCGGCTCTACTACCATGAGAAAATTAGAAAAGAGAGAAGATTCAATTCGTTATTAAAATGAAAATTACACATGTATATACACAATAATATTGGCCTATGGGCCTCTTAGGCTATGGACCTCTTAGGCTATGGACCTATAGACTTACAAAATTAATCTATGTACAAGACTATAATCTACTATGTACAAGACTATTAGAGAAAGGAGTACTTCTAACACTTATTTTGTCGTTTTTCATTTAGAAAATGCCCACAACAGAAATCAGGGCATGGAAGTTTTCGGTATCTCTGTTCATTTCTGGTCACAGTCATTGAATTTATTTATGTTTTGAGAGAGAGAGAGAGAGAGAGAGAGAGAGATCTAAATTAAGCGTGGCCTTCTTTTTTAGGAGTGTCGTGGTTTGGTTTTAAGGATGCTAAGCTTTATAGGCATTTTTGTTAGATACCAATTATCAAATCATTCAAATAGTTCTCTGGCATGTATGAATTAAGGCAATGTACATCTAACTTGCTTCATATTGCAATGATTAGAGCCTTTGCTCTGGGTTTGTTGGGAGAAGGTGTCACATATTATCTGATAGATCTGAGAGTGTCATGAATTTGAGCTGACAAGAGAGTTTATCTAGTTGCTTTTACTCACATGTCATTTCTTCTTTTAATTATTCAAGCAGACACTCTTGAGGGCAATAGTTCTAGAAATTTGATGATGTATGTTTCCCTGTGGTAAACAATCTCTCTCTATCTCCATTCCCCCAGCCTTTGGATGTTTGTGGGAGTTATAATGCTTAATGCTAGTTTAGGTAATATTATGCCTTTCTGGATGTGGAAATAATATAATGGCCTAGAATGCTATATTACCATAGCTTCTTAAGGGAATAAGGGAATAAGTGGCATGTGTACGAGGGTGAGTGTATGAAGGTAGATGGACTAATAGCTTCAACACTTCAAATTTACAGTCTTTCTGGGCAGACTCTGCTGACTTAGGACCACTACTAACAAGCTTTTGCAATTGGATTTGTGCTCTTTGATAATTTTAGGGCTTTTATGGTCCTTGTATCACGTGCTCTAGATATACTTTGTAAAGTCTGCTCTCCTGATTAAATTACCAAATGCAAGTGTCAATTTCATTTTGGTTTCCCAGAGAATGTTTTTCCTTCTCAGGCTGTCCCAGGTTACCTTTGCATGTGTTTCCTTCCTGTCAAGGTAAACCCTGCATTGACTGGAACCTGGTGCATTAGGCTGCCAGCCAGAACATGCTTGCTGGCCCAGCTAGTGCAAGTTTTTAATTATGGAATCCCAAACAAAGAAATAATATTGAGATAGGAGAGGCATGCTGTGTATGGACCACCAAAATAATTACCTAGTATGTTCAACTCACTTCAGAACATGCGACATGGTGTGTCCAGTTTCTTTCTTCTTGGTTTATTTTGTATTTGAGCTAGACACAGATGACTATGCAAGGAATATGCGTGTCTTTTTTCTGGACGTGTTATAGACATGTCCTCCCTGTATAGTCTTAAAAAAGATCCAACTTGGCCAGATTGTGTAAGTGAAAGCAGTTGGGAATGGAAGAAAGAGCAATCTATCTCTCAAAAACAATGTCATTCCCTCCAAATTAAATCTGAAAAACCTGAGAGATGGAGGAAGGGAGTGAGAGTCTTTCATTCGTATACCTTAAGAGGGAGAGGGAGATAGCAACTGGAATTAAACCTGGTCAAATTCCATGTATGGAGAAGAAGAAGATGGCCAATATATCTGGAACCAAAAGTGGAAAACTCATAAACACACACAAAGTTATGTCTGTGGCAACGATTCCTCCAGCCCAAGTATTTCTCAAGTAGCAATTATTAAGATAAAGGTGCACTGACAACCGTCCCTTCCTTGGCCCAGCAGTTATCAAACTTTGTACATCGAGGTCCAAGTCTCGTTAGAGATATAGCCCCTCTATTTCCGATGTACCAAAGACATGGCCTCTTTATTTTATTAGTAATATTGTGTTCGCAAAAATATTTCCATGCAAACATGTCTGTACGGGAAATACATAAAGTGGGCCCTTCTTTTACCATTTCTGCCTTGTCTGGTTTCTTAGATCATAGGTAATTGCTTTTGCACTTCTGGCTGTTGGGGATATTACCTTAAAAAAACTATAAAAGTCACCTGTGCCAATTCTTTATGACTTAAAAAAGATAAGTTCAAAAGAGCCACAGCTTTTCATAACCAAACTAGAGTGGTTACTATTGTGTTTATCACGAGTCATAATTCTTCCTTTTGTTTTATATTTATTCACTTTTTTCAGCAGTTCAATGAATGGATAAGTAGTGTTCAGTTTTCTCCAATTTTTAACTTCAAAATTATGTTATAGTTTTGCATGCTAGGAGTATCTGTAATTGACGAGGATTTCTCCATGCTTCTTTTCTTAACACAAGAAGTTAAGAGATGAAAGTTCACTTTAGATACTGTGTTCTCATCCCTGATTCTTTATAAAAATGTATTTGTAAAATTAGATAAATGAAATTTTCACTCTGAGATTTTTAATTATTGGAACTTCAAACTTGATGTTATTTTGTCTAGAGGAACCAAAGAAACACCATATTTCTTAATGCATAAAAATTGTCAGAATTTTCCTTTTTTGTTATGATTTTGTGGATTTTATGCATTATGTATTGGACAGTCTTACATTGAATATAAAAGCCTGTTGTTGTATGCTTTAGATCCCTGTATCTTTTCCTTCACAGAACCTGTGTTGGTACACCATATTGTGTTACGTCTACTGACTATTTTTGCATTTATTTCTTAATTAGAGCCAAAAACTTTGAATGCCTTGGTTATCAATTTATTGGTGAAGTTCAATCTTGCTTCTACAGTACACATTTCTATATGATATATGAGACCAAAAAAAAGCATGTAAACCTAATTGTAGGATTGTTGGCATATGCTTCTTTGTTGTTGTGATTATATATAATGTAGAGGGATGGTAGCTTCTATATGTTGTCAAACTAATAATTGCTTGGTTTAAGCTAAAAAGTGTAGGGTGAAGGTCGTTGATATAATGTGCATGCACTTCCAATATTATTTTGATAATGTGAGCCTTGATCCATATTCAACTGAACTGAGTACAACAATTTCAAAATTGGGCTTGCTTGCTATATTCTTGTGGAAAAATATAAAATAGTAAACGTAGCTGCAATAGTAGTTTTGTGAACGTTAATCTAATTTGTCTTGTTACCTTGATATGAACAGTCCTGGCATTATGTTACTTATTTTCAATAGAGCTCAGAGTCATGTTCCTCTGAAGATACTGTCAATAGAAGATGGAACAGTTCTTAAAGATTTCAATCATTTGCTTCATCGCAATAAAAAGGTGGACTTCATAGAACAATTCAACGAAAAACTTCTTGTCAAGCAAGAAAACGAGAACCTTCAAATTCTTGATGTACGTTCTGATTTACTGTTTTCTTCATTTCGCTATGCCTCTGCCATTTTTACCCCTGGATCTTGACTTACCGTTCTTTGTCATAGGTGCGCAATGCTGAACTGAAAGAAGTTAGCAGAACTGAGTTCATGACTCCATCTGCATTCATCTTTCTTTATGAGAACCAATTGTTCCTGACATTTAGAAATCGAACTGTTGCTGTTTGGAACTTTCGGGGGGAGCTTGTAACTTCTTTTGAGGATCATCTGTTGTGGCATCCAGATTGCAATACCAACAACATATATATAACAAGTGATCAGGATCTTATCATTTCGTATTGCAAAGCTGATTTGATGATCATTGGATGGAGGGAAGTGGTAAATTCTGTGCACTCGTATCTTAATTAGCAAATACATCCTTAAAGGCTGGAGTTGCATTGTGTAGTGTGTGTGTGTGTGTGTGATGTACATGCTTAATTTTCTGGGGCATGCATGCATTTTCAATGTTTGCATTTAGTTTTTTTTTTTTTTTTTTTATCATTTTTATATTTAAGGCAGGAAGCTTTCACCTCCTTTTTTTCCAGAAATTATGTGCACTTTAGTTTTACTATTGTGTGGAATAACTGCATATGTATTTTGCAAATTTCTGCCACCTTACCAGTAGTTACTGTAAAAGGACCTTTTTGCAGTTCATCAGTTCTCCACTGGTGCTCTCTGTTGATAGACGATGAACTGCTTAACAACTGCCCTCTCCCTTACCCCAACCCAATAAAAGGATGCAGTAGTATAAACTTGAATTTACAATAATAAATTAATACTTTTGGGAATATAAATTGAATTTGCATTTGAAGAATACACGTCTTTTATTCTATATTTTCTTAGAAAAGTTCTCTGGTTGGCCATTCAACAGAGGCCTACTCATGTTTTATTTAAAATTATGTTGTTGACATGAAAAATTCTAGTTGTTGTGATGGCTTTGCTGTATAAGAAACATATGGAGCATTTTTATCTGTAAGAACCAGGAGGGGGAGGCGGGAAATCAAATTTCTCAGGGAATCCATCCTGGGAACAGTGATGGGGTAATGAAATTTTGGGAAAAACTTCTAGGAAACATTTCTGTGGTATTCTGGAAATTTTGGCATAAAATAGAGAATGTCTCAAAATCTTAAAAGATATTATGGAAACGATCTAGAAATTTGCTATTATAAATTTAGGAGTTTTTGTGCTTTAAAATCTAACTGCTGATTTAATAATTGTCCTTACTTTCTGTAGACACTATATGGATAATATAACCGTTTATACTGGGAAAGTTTTTTTTGACCTGTTAAATATACAAACGTGAATGAAAGGGAATAAGTAAAAGAGAGAGAAACAGGGAGAGAATGGAACAGTGAGGGATGGGCAGTCACGTTAATAAACCTGAGATCTGCTCTGTTACTAAAATGCAGAGGGAAAAGAAAAAATAACTGAACTGTCTATTTCCAGTGTTTTGAGTTGTTGTCCACTGATTTTATTTTTTGTTTCTCTCTCTCTTTTTTTTTGTGAAATTTTAATACAGCTGGGTCCATCAATATTAGCAACATTTTAACAGGGAAATGCCTGGCTAAAATAAATGCTAGTAATGGCATTCCCAAAGTCGATGAGTTCAACACCAGTGACAATAGTACGAAGAAGAAAGTAATAAATCACTCTTATAGGATGAGGAACACAGTTGCAGAAGCATTGGAGGACATAACAGCTCTTTTCTATGATGAAGAACGAAATGAGATATATACTGGTAATCGCCATGGTCTGGTTCATGTATGGTCTAATTGAAGTTTTTACTTTTCATCTTGCGTGGAGATTCTATGGTAGTGCTGCTGGAGGATTGTCATTTTGTCGGCTACTGTCTGGAATGATACCGCATTGTGTTGTATCATCATTAGATTACCTTTTCGTTACATGCAATTTGGCTTGTGTAGATGTATATTTGGGTATTTCAGGCTGCCTGGTTAAGATGCCCTGGAGAAAGAAAATGTGTCAGATCTCTGGGCATGTTACAGGACGTGAACACATACTAGTCCCTATGTAACCATCTCTTCTTTTGGTTAATTTGAATGCTAGTTTTCTTTTTTTGCTGGGTGCCTCATGCTATAGTGTGTCGCTAACGTTGAGCTAGGCTGATTCGAGATGGATGTGTAGATTTTATTTCATCAGTGATGCAAATTAGACTAATGCTTTTGCAACTTTGAAAGGTTTTTTAATATTAATACTAATTTGTTTATTTATTGAATTATTCATATTACAAATTATTTATCAAAATATATAGAACTGATTTTTGTATAGAAATCTATTCCAAATAGACCGGCTTGCATAGGGGTTGGTTTGGCGTGGACTGGTTTTCCAAAAATAAAAATTTCAGTTAACAGGGCACGAAAGATGAGAGCCAGTCGGTCGAGAAGAGCAGAGGGCGGAGGCCAGGTGGAGGAGGTTGATGGGCGCAGTGGCAAAGTGAAGACTGAGAGAAATGGGTATAAATCTTTTAATGAGTGCAAAATTTAGAAGTTAGTAGAGATATTATATAGTAATTTTATAATATATGTACTTGTTAACAAAATGTTCTTTAAGAGGAGAGCTTAATGGTTCCGCCACTGCATCGGTGGAGACGATGGCGGCAGAGGTTAAAGCAGCGAAAGAGGGAAAGAATAAGGTGGGGAAGGTATTGTGAAAACTAATCTTGCAGACCCAAAACTGTTGGTGGAAAATTGATCAGTGTTGGAAATGTTTGTGACAAATCAGTTGGCTCGCGCCATATCAGTGTTGATAATGGTGGCCGCCGAATTTGGGGCGTAAAGGCCACACTGCCTTTCAATGCGGCGGGACCATCTCTGCCATGTCAGTTAGTTTCCTTCATACTTCCAAATCTGATCCGCGACCACCATTTTCATTAGCAGTTAATTTGTCACCTGCTTGAGAGGATTTTAAATACGTGGGAACTGACTTTTAGTGCCTTCTCCGCCTTGCTCCTTCCCTCTTCCTCGGCTGTTGTTGCCTCTGCCCCTCGGCCGCCTACGCCTCTCTTTCCTTTTTTCGCTTTCTTCCTCCGCTTTGCCCGTTAACCTCCCCCCACCTGATCTTCACTCTCTGCCCTTCCTGACTGACTAGACCTTGTCTTCCATCCCTCGCGAACAGATTTTCTTGGAAAGTTGGTCTGACAAGAATTGAGTTCAATGCAAAAGTCGGTCCAATTGAAACTGACTTTTGTACATAAGTGTGTTAAAATTAATTTTGCATATTTTGATAAGGAAGACATAATTTGGTGAAAAAAATTATAATATTAATATAAAAAAGTCACTTTGAAACCCTCAACTTCAAATGGACAGATATTCCCCGTGTCTTTTTATTATTTTTTATTCTCTCTCCATTCTCTTCCTCAATGCGCTGCCATCCATGTTTTTATCTTGCCGACCGGTTGGAGCTCCAGGTCAAGCGCATTGTAGAGGTTGACCAATGGCACTGCTGCGATTGGTCCAGGACTTCCTAGAAACCTTCTTCATCCGCGATAAATTCCATTGATTTGCACTGGGCAGTCTGAAAACTCTCCTCCAAAAATGCAGCTCAAAGCGCCTCTATCCAAAATTCTGCTTTCTGATTCAATCAAACAAATGAATGTAGGCCCCAATTCAGAAAGAGTGAAAACGCAAGAAAGAGATTCAACTAACCCAGTGTCGATGTTTACCGTCAAGATGGTGGCTGCAAAAGGGAACATAAAAGGATAAAATAAAATAAGTGGTTCTGGGTTGGAGGGAAAAAGGAGACAGAGAGAGAGAGACTTGGAAGTTTCGTTTTGCTCTTTCACCAGGGGGGATTTTGTTTATTTATATTTTTGTGGGGTTCATATTCAAGCTGATCGTTTTTCATTTTTCTCTCTTCCCCATAAAGATCAATTCACAAGGGCCAAAACCCCAATTGCCAAACTTGTTCTCATGTCAGCCAAAATGTGTGATAATTTATTAAAAACCACTGGCTTGCCGAGCCATCCCCGGGCTCGGTTTTAGAAAGAAAAATTAATAATATAAATTCTATATTCATTCAAATTTCTGTTACTTAATATATTAAATCTATGCTAAATAAATTTTAATATTTATTTTGAAAAATGTAAATGCGTTGGATAATAAGAAGTGGTTTCTACGTTTCAAAGTTTTTTTTAAATAATGTAATAAAACATATATTTATAGTTTCTATTATCTTTGTTAGAGAATCAATATTCGATCTAAAGTATTTTGGGTATCTCACCTCACTTCCATTCCACAGTCAGAGACTCCAAGCTAATCATTTTCATGTGATTAATGTCTGATAGAGAACCACCACCATGTGCAACTTCTATTTGACAATTTGATATAACAAAGCCCAGAGGCAGACCATCCGAAACACCCAAACAGCAGCACTGGACCAAACCTCTGCCTCCAAAGGGAATCAACTGTACTTCAAATACCATGAGGGGTTGGTCTTTTCAAATCCACCAACGACCCTAGAAACCAACAACTAATCCATTCCACTGAACGCAGAAATGCCCAGTCAACACGTGGGTACAAAGTACAGCCACACATGAGCTCAAAAGACAGTTGCAGAAAGCAAATCAAACACCCACCACTCTACCCAATGGATTCATCACCTTACAAGGTATCTCAAGACATTGCAGCAGTTGGCACCCGACTGACTGAGAAGAGAGTCAATCCTGTGACACCTGTCCTTCCGAAGGACGACGGAGTGCGTTTTCTTGACTTTGATAGACTCCTTCGGCAGCCGAATGGGTTACGTTGAGAAACACAGAGGCAAATTTTGAACGAGAAATTTGTCGAGCAAGGTAACGTAGCACGTGACAAAATTGTAAGTAAATCCTTAACTTTTGTAATAGGGACATTTATATGTAACACATTTTGCATGGCTCAAAAAAATTAATTATCTATCTTTTTGAGGTTGAAGAATAATATATTAAAAGAAAATTAGTTTATGGGAGAGCGACACAGATGAGCATAATACCTTGACCAGAGTGAAAGATTGTAATGAGTTGCCGGCGGGGGAGATTTCGAACTACTACTGGTTCTGAAGCACTACTTACCGATAGCGTACTGAAATAAGGAAATAACATGTCTGAGGTAGAAAAATTCAGGAACCTCTCGACGGAAGAGGAGGACTTGATCAGTAGAAGCACCAGAAAATAGAGAGTGGGTCGCAAACCTTCTCCGCTGAAGGTTCTGGTCCCATTTAGTGGGTTGCAGAGGAAATGGGAAGTCTGGAATTTGAAGCGGGTCGCATTTAGAGTTCCTACAAAGACCCGGTCCTGGGGACTAGGCTAGCGGGCTTAGAGGATTCAGAGAGCGAAGAATCTGAAGAATGGGCAGAAGACATGGACGGGTCTGTGGAACATATGGTAACAGAGCAAGACAATGGCGACGGGGATATGGGAACAGAGCAGGTTATTGGCGATGGGTTACAAGATCAGAGTCATTGCCGAGGTTCCGAGAAATCGAAGCATTTGAAGGCAATCATGCTTGCCCGGAATTCGTGATTGGAAATAAGGTTGAAAATAGGATTAGTAAACCGTGGAAGTCTGCGCTCATCGTCAAGCTGCTGGGACGAAAGGTAGGCTATGACGCTTTGGAAAGCAGACTCCAACAGTTACGGGCTCTCCACGTAGTTATTACCATGATCGACGTCCGAAACGATTTCCATTTGGTGAAGTTCACAAGCCCCATTGATCTAGATCACGCTCTAACAGGAGGACCCTGGATAATTTATTAACTCACTGTGAGGAAATGGTGCCAGATTTTTGATCCCTGTAGAATCCAAATCAGTTCTGTGGCAGGTTAACAGAACTACCGATAGAATAACACTCTAAAGAGGTTCTAACCTATATTGGCAACAGGTTGGGAAAACGGAAAGAGTGGACTTCACAACTACCACTCAGACCAGAGGGGGATACCTCCGCCTCTGCGCCGAAGTGGATCTAGCTAAACCGCGGATATACGTGAGCCTGCACCTTGTTTCAAATGTGGTCAATATGGGCACATTGTGTAAGGCTGCTCGGAGAAGACCGTCAGAACATCGACGGACTGCGAGGCAACGGAGGATAACGCAGGGCAAGGAAGGGCACGTGACATGGGGGAGGACACGCTGCACGGACCTTGGACCATTGTTCGGAAGGCTCGAAGGGGAAAAAAGACAAAGCGGAAGGGGGGCTTGGGTGGGAAGGCTGAACCAAAAAAGGACAAAACAGAGATGAGTCGTCGGCAGCAGCACGTTCGAGGTTCCAGTCGCTATATATGGCTTACGGAAGAGGAGCCGGACAATCTTGAAGAGGCAGAGGTTCTCACGAACCAGGGAGATGGTGACATCCTTGATGTTGGGTAGCACGTTGGCATGTTGGACACCTGTCCCACAGCCTACCAAATAAACATGTGCTGTCCAACATTTAATGGTGCTGTCTCATTGAACAGCATCCAGTATCAAATATACTGTTCTAAACAAATGGGTGAAGACAACGAAGAACCGCAAGAAAGAGAACTCGGGACAGGAGACTTTCGAGGATTACAAGGGGAAGAAAGAAACAGGGTACAAAAACTCTGGGCCCAAGATGGACTGGAGGGGTGCTATGGACAAATCAAACGGGCCCAAGTCTGGGCAACCCGGAGGGTGGAGCAGAGTTCAAATCCACCCAGACCAGATCCAAACCTTTTGCTCCGAATGGAGTGGGCCATTCCTAGCCCCAACCCGTGGAAAGAGCTACAGGATCGGGATCCGGCATGCATTTGGACTAAGCTGTTCATTCTAGA